AAAAGATCAACTCATGAAAAAGACATAACAATCCTAAATGAAGACACACTTTAAAATAGATCTTCAAAACATAAGGCAAAAACTGATAAATCTGAAAAGAAAAATAGAGAAGTTGTTTTAACACTTTCGTTAATTGGCAGAACATACATAAAGTAAGTTCTTATTTTTGAGACAGAGTCTCATTCTGTTGGGCAGGTTAGAGTTCCCTGGCATCCTCCATCTCAGGCTGAAGCCATCTCTTGCTTCAGCCTCCCAAGTAGCTGGGACTACAATAGCCCACCACAACGCCCAACTAATTTTTCTATTTTTAGTAAAGATGGGATCTTGCTCTTGTTCAGGCTGGTCCCAAACTCCTGAGCTCAAACTCTCGCCTCCCACCTCAGCCTCTCAGAGTGCAAGGATTACAGATGTGAGCCACTGCGCCCACCTAGTAAGTTCTCATTTAACATCCACAAAAGGCTCCTGGAAACCATCCCTTTAAGCCAAGACAATGAGGTAAAGCAAGGTCCTAGAATAACATCATTTCCTTCATTGTTGTTTCATTATAACATTGATAAGAGAAAAAATTGGTTTTGTTATACATCGTTTCATTTAATGTCATAGTTTCCAAGAACCCAGCAATGATGTTATATAAAGACTTACTATATTTAAAAAATCAAGAATGACATAGAAGACTTTAATAATACTATCTGCCAATTTGATATAAATGATATTTATAGAACACACCACCAAGTAACATTAGAATACACTTTACACTTATACACAGGGAATGTTAACGAATATAGACCATAGTATGGGCCATAAAACAGGTTTAATAAATTAGAAATGATTGGACCATGCTGTCTGCCGCTATTAGAAAAGATAGATATCTGGAGATGCCTCCACATATTTGAGAAGTAAACAATTCACTTCTAAATAACTTACAGGTCAAAGAAGAAATCACAAGAAAAATTGGAAAATGTCTTGAATTTAATGCAAATGAAAACATAACATATTGAGATAGGCAGGAAACATGTAAAGTATACTTAGAAATTTCTAGTATTAAATACTAGAAAAGAAGAAAGGTTTCATAATAATGATCTAAGGTTCACATCTTAAGAGCCTAAAAAAATTAAACTAAAAGAAATCATAAAGAGGGGATAATAAATACAAGAACACAAATCAATGAAATAGAAAACAAAAACACACAAAATAAATGAGGGCAAATGCTGGTTCTTTTCTTAGGTTAAGAAAAAAAGGAGAAGAGATGAATTCCAATATCAAGAATGAAAGAGAAGTCATGTCTACAGACAAGCATTAATATAGGAATGTCAAATGTAAAAATACTAAACAATTAGCAAATCAAATCCAGCAAAATATTAAATGTATAATATACTGCAACCAAACTGATTTACCCTGGGAAGGCAAGAATAATAGTTGGAAATAAATTAACGTGATTCACATTAACAAATAAATGGAGATAAAAAATAATTATATGAATAAATGCAGAACAATTTATAAAATTCAAAATTTATGACTGCAAACTGTTAGCAAACCAGGAATCAAGGAGGACTTCTTTAACCTGCTAACCCCTCACACACATTTATGAATGTGAGATAAGACAAAGGAGGTACTACAGATCAATACATAGTGCTATTAATATGCCAAACCCCATGAAATTTGATGCCTTCTTGCATTCCATGAACAAAAATAAATTCCAAGTGAAGTAAAGACAATGCGAAAGGCAAAACTGTCTAGCTTATAGAAAGTGATATGGAATGATGAGAAGAATTTCTTTTAAATAAAATATTAATAGAAAAACTGTGAACTCAGAGGAAAAGATTGATAAATTTGACTACAGTATAATTAAAACCCTTTGCTCATCAAAAGGCACTGTAGAGAAAGAGAAAACACAAGCGGCAAAGTGAGAGAAGATTTTTGCAGCACATACAACTATTAAAGGACTACCATCCAGAATATATAAAGAACTCCTACAAATACACAGTGTTAAAGGACAAAATACTTGAATAGTTAAAAAAGATGTCAAACCAAATTGCTAGTAAATGTATGAAAAGATACTGAGCCTCACTGTCAATCACCGAAATGCAAATACAAGCACAATAAATATCATTTCACACCTTTCAGGATGGCAGAAACAGTGTAAAGAGCAACTGAGAAGATGTGCAGGAATGAAAACTTACCTAAGACTAGCAAGAGTGTAAACTATTACAATCCCTTTGTAAACACTTTGGCATTTTGTATCAAAGTTGTCATGCACACACCCTACAATCTAGCAATTCCACTCTCAGATAAATACTCAAAGAAAAGCCTGGACATCTTAAATTTGTGCAGGACTCCATGAGAATTGCACTGATTTTTGAACAGGAAGAATGAGAAGACAATTTTAATAGGATGTCTAAACCGAGTGCTAGGAGTCCAGAGTGTTGATGACCTCAGGGGGAATCAGAAGACAGCAATCCTCTGCCAGGACTATTATTCATTGTCAATCCAAGTTACCTGGAAGTGAGATGGATTTTCCTCCAAAAACAGCTGAGGTGAGACTACTTTGTTTGTTTTATGGTTGGGGGGGGTGTAATAAGATTATCTGCTGTTGCCAGATTATAAAATCTTTGATAGATAATTTAGGATATGATTTTTAGGAACCAACAATAGATAATTTACAATGGAGAAATTCAGTCCTAGCAGCCTCTAAGCCTGAGCAGATTATGTGGGGTACAGATAACTATCAGAATACTCAGAAATAAGGGTTAAGTCATTTTCAGCCCACGTTACCCATATATTGCCTAACACCTAGTGAAGTGTCAGCATTTACTGCCAGCTAATAATGCTAACTTGTTATTGTGGCAATAAAAATTTTGTATTTTTAACCACGGAAAAAAATCTAAGTACGGCATGAACTCCTCCTCTTTTTAAGCTGAGAGGTTGATCTTTTGTGTGTGTGTGCCATTGGACCAAAAATAAAGCAACTTAAACATTATATTTTAAAAACCAAAATTATAACAACTTGATCTTAAATTAAATGTAGCTTCATGATTTCTTCATCACATCTCATTTAGTAATTTAAAAAATTCATTAAAGCAAATGCTTAAGATAATTTTAAGATGCAATTCATCATAAAAAATGTTCAAAAAATGCATCCCAGGGAGTTCTGAAAAATTTTCTAAAAGGAAATACATTTCCTTAGAAATGTTTCAAACTCACATAGATGAGATCAAATAATTAACATACATAAACACAGAACTCTGTTTTCTGAAAACTTCTGACTGTGGTTCACACTATTGAGCCTGAAAACCACCTCAGCCACTCACGTCACTTCACTTATATTTAACCTCTTAGAGCTTCTGTTTTCTAATCAGGAAATAAAGATAATTCAGTATCTCCCTCATGAAGATATTGAGAGAATTAAGTATAATATTGACACATGGAAACCAGCAAGATGCTTCCTGCTGGCATGCACCAAGAATCAGGATACACATCAAATACCCATATTTCCACTAGGTCATTGGAGAAAGAATGCTTGATGTCAGGGCTCGGGACTGACCAGGTCTCAGGCCTGGCTTGGGTAAGGTTCCAGACTTGGACCACTAAGCTACTGCTCAGGAACAGTTTCTCTTGGTTGCCTGAGGGCTATCTACTTTAGCTGGAGAGAGAGAGAGAGTCTGAGATTAAAGCAGTCTTCTTAGAAAGATAGATCTTAGTCTTTAGCAGAGCTTGGTAATCTTCAGCAGAGAGACCCTGTGCTGGC